CCAACTCTTAGCCCAGGATGCTGTGTGCGTCAAGGAGAGCTTATTTAATAAAAGGCCCCTAGGTACAGAGTCAAACGCAGATGTGTAGTCTAGGAAAGCACCACGGACATATTTGGCACCTTTGTCTAAACAAGAAACAACATTATGATATAAGACAACCGCAGCATCCAAGGTACTTCTACCATGTTTATATGCAAATTGCTTAGGGTCATTAAAAGCTTTCAATGAAGGTTCAAGACGAAGTAAAAGTAGTTTTTCCATCAATTTTAAAAAAGGAGAAGTAATTGCAATAGGCCTAAATTTACTATCGGTACCAGAAGATTGTTTTGGTATAGGGACAATTTTAATGTTTTTCCATGCAGAAGGTAGAACATTACTGGAAAAGGAAGCATTAAAAATATTAGTAAGAGGGTAACACAAAATATCAGCACAGTTCCTGAGGACAATGGCAGGTACGCCATCAGGACCAAGGCTTTGGGAAGGCTTAAGAGAACGGAGACATTTAAGCACATCAAGGGTATTAAAACCATTAAAATTATTGTCTATGTGATTTGTATCATTAGGAAGGATATCGTCAGAGGAGCGTATGAAAGACTTATTAAGATTATTAACATTAAGAGATTGTACAGAATTACACCGCTTACCGCTAGTTATTTCTTTAAAAAGTTTCCATAAACTAGAAGGGGTTTTACATGACAAAAATCTTTGGTTGTATAAAACATTTAGTCTGTGCATTTCGAGTTTTATCAGAGGATTTAGCTTTTTTACACCTGACTTATCATTTGTTTTGAACAACAGTTCTTTATCTCTACGGAGCTTTTTGAGATATGGAGAAGAGAAACGGTCAAAACGAGTGAATAATGTTTCTTTAGGACAACATATTTCCAAACAGAATTTAAGATAATCTGTGGTGTTTGTGATTGTGTCATTTAATGTTTGTTCTGTAAATAGGTCCCAGTTAGTATCTATCAACATGCATCTGAGTTTGCTTAGATTATCTTGTGAGTAGCATCTCCGTTGAAATTTACTGTAGAGGTGAGAGAAGACACGTTTGTGTGATTTGGAATATATTTTAGGCAGTACACGTATGATGCAGTGGTCAGAGTTCAATACAGGAGCACGTTTGCGAGCTTCATATATACCAACATCATTGATGAATACTAGATCTAGTGTTTTTTCGAGACGGGTAGCAAAGTTAACAATATTGTCATGGCCAAGTGATATAAGGAAGGAGTGATCACAAGAGTTAAAATCGCCAGTCACTATTGATAAAGAGTTCTCGAAACAAGCTGCAGCAAAAGCGGTGAATTCATCTGCGAACATAGATAAATCCGATATGGTACAGCCAGGAGAGACATAAACATTAGAAATATAAATGAATTTGTATTTTGACAAGTGTCTCGGGCGACATCTGACAGTGATGCAATCAATGTAGTCATTCGAGAATTTGAAACAAACATTGTTAGAAATAGACCATTTTGAGTGAATAAATGTAGCTACACCTCAGCCGCATTTTTTCTTGGAACAAACACGGTCTTGTCGGAATACATTAAAATCATTTAAAGATACTATATTGTCATCATATGAGTCATGAAGCCAGGTTTCTTGTAGAGTTACAATACCAGTATTATGATAAGTTTCGGACAACAACAGGGACTGAAAATCCAGAATTTTGTTAGGCAGTGACCGACAGTTCGTACTAACGATAACCGGAACAGTAGTTTGATGTATGGGTGTAGATTTTAAAGCACGTTGCCAACCACCATGGTGCTTTTTCTTGAGTTTATTGCAAATATGAAAGTTTTTAGGTTTTAAGCATTTTATATAATCCCGAGAGTGAATGATACGATTAGAATGCATAATTTTAAATGCAAACACCAACAAAATATGAGTAAATAGATGCAAAATGTACATGGAATAAACGAAAGATATCAAAAATTATTTTTGGATGAAGTTCTTTTGTGTTGAAGCTAGTGCAAATGATTTGCAGTGTGTTTTTCTATTGATGTAGCTACAAAGTGTATAATAACATGGTGGTTCCTTAAAAAGTCTTCTCAGAACGTCTGGGTGATCTTCTTCTGTTCGTTTATACTTTGAAGGTTTATAAATCTTACCACAAATCAGATATTCTGATATATCAGTATTACTATTCCCTTGGGTTCCAAGTGAAACATAGAACTTCAACAACACCTCTTCTCTTTGTTCTATTTGGTGCTACCCTTTTCAGCTGGGTACACGATTGCCTATAATCCCTCATCTCCTCCTCCCCAAAAGATCTCCTCCATGTCAACCTCGCACTGACGACACACTTGTGACTTCCCAATTGGATTCCACTCTACCGATGGCCTACATTGCGCCTGATGTTATTCGACGGTCTCCTCAGTGTGTGCTCAATCCACCTCCATTTTCTCCTACATATTTGTTGAGCGATCGGCTCTTGGTTGGTTCGTTCATCGTTAGATATGCTTGTTGCAAATTCTTCCTAACCAGCTGGCTGCTGATTTAATCTTCAATATGGAGCTGGCGAAGACAGCTGTTATTCCCATCATCCACATTTTATTATCACTTGATTACTGTTTCTTAATAACATTGATTTTTCATACGGATTTTATACAAAGGCACTTTATAGCCTTTCCACTAGTTCCTGTCCATTCCACACTAGTTTACTGATTAGTCATTACCCCACACTTATTACGTCATGCCAACTTTTGTCTCCTTTCTAACTTACAATTAGTCATCCCTTCTTACACCTTACATTATGTAATACAGTTTTTCAAGGATAAAGTTTACCAGTATCTGATGGGTCTAAAGATTTCTTTATTATTTATAATTACGAGTGTACAGCTCATGAAAATGAATCGTCGGAAAGAAAATTTTCTTCGCTGTTTGTGCCTTTTTCTTATATCGCCTATATCCATGTATATATATATCAATTCACTTGCTGCTTTGGAGCTAAGTTGAAAAGCCCTAATAGTAAGATTTCCTCTAGACATGCAAAAAAACATTTCCAAATGTAGTTGTCGGAAAGTAAAACTATAGAAAGACAATAGTTCAGTGCTTGAGCACGTTATTCATGAATATCATTCTGCATCAATAGAAAAACATTTCGAAGGGATTTATATGGTAAAGTCAAGTTACTCAAAGGATTTCTGGCTGCATCTTCTGTCCACCATGGAATCTCTTGCTATGCACAAAGGAAATCCTGAACTCTATTCATAGAGGCGTTTTTCTGATCCCTTTTGCTATCATGGCATTAGAGCTTTTTAATTTATGAAACAATTTAGTATCTAATCCATACTGAATCGTTTTTCTTGCTTCTATTTTTTCAGACTTCTGAATCTATTACTCTTATGAATAATATTCGCTTTTTCAAGTGGTTCCTGTCTCAATAGTTATCATTTCTAAGCTATATTCATCACCTAATATTTGTAGATGGTAAGAAGAAGCCTTGGACCTAGCTTTCGTAATTCTTGGTAGTCGTCAGTAAGGTGCGTCTGCAGTCTAAAGGGAACTCTCTTCTGAGATTCGAACCTGCGCCACCTAGTGCTGCAGACACAGAGGTTACCACTGAGATATTCTGTAGTAGATACTCTGATTGGAAACTAGGTAGTAACTAATGTCAAACTAATCCTAAACTTGACTGATAGTCCACACGAACACCAAGGACTAGACGCACAACACTGGTTAGATGACGTAAAACTCTCTAACTAAGTTTTATAATGTACTCACTACTTTTCCTGACATACTGTTCAATTTTCAACCTCAACGAATGCATGTATTACTGTATTTGTTTGCATTTATGTGACTTGAAGATTCTTCTAATTCTTTTGAAGTTATGTTTCTTCGTCTGACTTGAATAAAATGTTCTACGTCAAAGATGTTGTCTAGAAAGAAACCGAAAGCTTCACAATCAGGGCAGTTAGCTCTGAGAACACAATCACATCAAGATGGTAGTACCTGACGTTTGTTTACAATTAAGGAGAATAATAAAAATGTAACGCAGTAAAACACTAAATGACATCCTGTTTTCAAGTATTCACGACTGTATAAAATATACACCAGGGAGTTTTCCAAGCTTAGTTTAACACAGGTTTGGATTACAGTTTTGATGCAACACGGTAAGAATCATCTCAGTCTCCCATTCAAGTCAGTTGGATCTCAATACAGCTTTGAACCTCAGTTGTAGTCAGTATACTTTTCACATATTTATCTATCATAAATGCATCTATCATGATTACCTTCAACTAGGTAGGATATGCTCAGTGGCTACTGGCCATATTCAGGTTGGTAGTTGCCTGGGTTCTAGTGGTAAGTCGTGACCAGTGGGGTGCAGCAGGTCAGGTGTGAGCACAAATGCTCGCCGAAAACATCAGCTAGCGAATGCGCTATGTCGTGAATTGGCAGAAGTTGGAATTCATGAGCTGGCCATCTGATCTCGTCCCAGTGGCTTAATGGTCTACTAGCTTGTCTTATAACCAGAAGGTTCTGTGTTCGAACCCTGGTGGTGGTTGCGTTCCAAACTAGGATGAAACAGTTGTCCAGTACTACCAGATGGTTTTCCAATGGTTCTCTAACCAATCTCAGCTCATGATGAAATCATGTAACCAATCAATCAAATCCCTACAAACCAATACTTGAATAATCTAGAATATTTTCATGGTTTCAGTTTAACAATAGGTAGATTTATAAATGGAATGATATTTAGTAGCAGCAAGGAACTCTGAGAACGAATCAACCAGGACCCAATATTCCGAACAGGAAGGCTCTTGACCGTAGTCTGAAAGGGGAAATGGCAAGTAGAGCATCTGAGAATGACATACAGGAGATCGTGTGAGGAGGAGTGACAGCTTATCGGCAATCGCGGAGACATCTAACCAGCATTGCAGAGAAGAGTGTGAAATGAGCATGTGCTAATGGAGCCCTGTATCCTACTCGCAACCTAAGGAAATAATATATATAAAAGTATACATACACATAAAATGAATGAAAACAAGAACATTCAGTTTGTTAATTTTACTTCATTCTCAACTTCTGTTGGTTGCATCCTTTAATGAGACACTAACATATCAAAAGTCCTCATGTTAAAAATAGAAATGATTCAACTAAAGAAATATTCATGATTAAAGTACGAAATATATAGTCAGTATTGTACTGTCACATCATAAAATGTCTATACAATGGCTTATATGAAAAAAAAACGTTGAAATATTTTCACTTCATGAATTCAAAACGTTCAAATAATAAATAAAGTGAGTGTAAAAGTAGCGAGAGAGAGCAGAAAATGTTTACGATTTCAGTACAGTCAAAATAGTCAACTTGATTAACCGAAGTGATTGAAGATCAGTTTTTTCATTATTCAGTGTTCATTATTATTTTTCTTTGTTGTTGACTGATCTAAAGAAAATATCCACTTAATCCTGTGAGAATAATAAGGAACAGAATCGAGCTTTTTTGAATGTGTAGCTTTGTCTTTCCATTGCACAGATCTGATGTACAACAGGTCGATCCATCAGTTACTGTGATTTCAAGACAACTATTTAGGCAATATTTATTTGTGACTCCTGCTTCTGTACGAGTCTAAAAAGAAAACAAAAGAAGAAAAAACGGAAACAAAGTGGGAATCTTTACTTGATATTTTAATTTATCTGACTGAGTAGCTATCAGACTTTATTTATTTATTATTATTATGTATTTTATTCCTTTGCGTTTCGAATGTAACATAGGGCTTGCGGCTATGAGCTTAGAAGTTTTAGTAGCAGTGGTGCTCTGTTTTCTGTTTTACTAGCATCATTCTGATGCACACTAGCGACTGGCCCTATTCAGGTAGATAGATACCTGAGTTCTAGTGAGAATTCGTGACCAGTGGGATATAGCAGGTCGGGTGTGAGAACAATTACTCGCCAGCGATGAAATTGCCTAGTGGTCGCGCTATATATCGTGAATTGGCAGAAGATGGCTTAATGGCCTACTAGCTCGTCTTGTAACCGGAAGGTCCCGGATTCGAACCCCAGTGGGCGCGTGCCGATGAAGAGTCCCAAACTAGGACGAAACAACAGTCCAGTACTCCCAGGTTTTCCAGTGGTCCTCTAATCGATGTCAGCTTGTGATGGAATCCTGTCACTAGTCGAATCACCGTAAAGCAAAACTTGAAAATTAAAATAACTTTTGAAGTCATAAAATAGAGTAAGAAATAAACCAAACCGGTTTCGATATAAAACCAAGTGTACTGCCAAATCCCGTCAGTGATGTTTCGCTGGGTAATTCACTCATTAGCTGATCAATCCAATAATATAAAATGTCAGCACTATACTAATCACATGGATATCAAATTCATTACTCAATAAAATATGCTTAAAGCACTTGTTTGCAAAGCAATACTGGTGATAACATTCAAATTGATTCAGACAGCTATACAATTTATTAAAACGTTGGTGTTCAGAAATTTTAAACCACAGCTTCAATTTGTTATTCAGAAAAAGTTCATGCAAACATATGACTACTAATCTCTTAGGTTCCGAATGGAACATAGGTCTTCAGAAGCGCATCTCTATGTCATCCTGTTCTCTGCAGTCGTCTTCAATTGCCTCCACGATTATTCATAATATCTCATCTCCTCTTAACACAATCTTTACCAATGGCATCCGTAGACACACGCCTAACTATCCGTCTCCATTCAAGTTCCACTCCATGGCTTGGAGCATGATGTCACTCAAGGATCTTCTCAGTGTGAGTCTTATCTATCTCCATTTACTTCTGCACATTTGCTGGGTGACAGGTTCTTGATTGGTTCACTGCATTAACAGAGTTCTTTGTTGCGAATCCTTTCTAGCTGTCTGTTCTTCAGTATGGGGCTAAGGCAGCTGCCGCTGAAAGTTTGCGGCAACCTGTCGGAAATACTTTTCGTGACACACTCGCCAATCCTCTGAACTATTTAAACCCAACTTGACATTAGCAGTGAAAATCCCAGTCTTTTATTCTTTAAGCTGAGCGCAGTGATTTTCAGGCTGATTTCAGTGCGAATGGAACAGTCTTCATTATACTTAAAGTATACTTTGGTGGGTGGTGACTGGCAGCGGAATCTAGTATGCGTATTTCAATTTATTTGGGACTCGTCAGCTGAATATACCTACAGTCCACAGTTGACAATCGTGCCCCCGCCATGATTCGAACCCAGCACCCATCGTCTCAAATTCGATGCGTTACGCACTAGATCACTTGGGCCACGAGAAGCATCTTTTGTGCCGGGGGCATCCGTTATTATTATTTGTTTAGATGAATTTTCCCGCAGACAGGTTCTATCAAAATTTTTGAATTCTGTAGATTTAATCAGCGAGGAGATAAAAATTCATCTTTGGTGTAGTTGTATTCTCTGAGCTGGTTAGTTAATTTGCGAAGATTTCATCGCCCTACTAGCGAAATTTCTTCAGTGCATACTTCAATTTGAAGTGAGCTTTTTGATTTCTCCATGAGTTTATTGGTTATCTCTCCTGGTGACCTAGAACGCCGTGATTGATTTTCTTTTGTGTTTTCACGCCCTCTTGGCTACCTGTGTTGGAACTGATTGTTCCCTTGACTTGAAATTTGCCCCTTTGTATGTGAGATTTCCTTCTTATCGGTTGGTAAATTTTGTAATTTTCTATGTGTCTATTGATTGACGATTCACTGGTATACCAGGCTTCTAAGAAATCTCTAAAAATTCTCCATCATATCTAGATAAAAATTTACTTAAACAAATATATTACACTTGTGTGGTAAAAAAATATTTAAAATATTGTATCTCCGAGTTTCCGCTTAGTCATACAAAGCCTCCTTACAATCTGAAGAGAACATTCTCTTTCGTTCAACTATAACTGGCTGCTTGCTTGAACTTTGGACTATCGAAATATACAATTCCATTAAAAACGCAAACATTGCTTCGAATTCCGGCATCTATTTTTATTTAAAAAAATAAGAGATGTACTGACTGCGGAATACAAGTACATCCAGTGACGAGTCCCAAATAGGACGAAATACACATCCTGGATTCCATGGCTAGTCACCATCCACTAATTAACTTCGAATAAGATATGTCTGTCTAAAATGTTAACTTTTATGATGAAATGACTGTTATCATTACTAATTATTAATCAGTGACATGTCTTACCGCACAAGCACCACAGACATTTTCAACAAATGTATTGCCAGTTGTACAATGCCTACAAACATAGCATTTGACGGGCTTGTCTGTAAAATGAATCCAAAAGTTAGAAATTGAAAGAAAAGTATAAAATTGTTAATTCTTTTATTCAATGATATTAAAATTATTATATCGTTCAGATGTTTTAAATCAAATATTATTTATGATAAGATAAAATCCTATTTCTCCTAGAAGCTTCATATTAACGGACTTATTTTTTTGTTGCCTTCTTCACATTCAGCTTCATTGCGAATCCCTTCCTCACTGTTTTAAATAGTTCCTCTAAGTGTTGTTATTTTCTACTCAATAAGAATAACAAGTCAACTCATTCGATTTAAATAGCATTATTAAAATTACCTGAGTGGTGTATTCTGCATAGCAGTAATCACAGTTTCAACTATTTATAGTAATAGTAATAATGATAACAGCTTTATTCCAAACAGTGTTGGTGGTACAGGTATGGAATTTTCAGCGTGCATTACAATATTGCATCTAATTACCTCATAAATTTTATAAGATTTTAAAGACAAAAAGCAACAACAACAACAAAGAATAGATAAATAAAAAGAAATAAAAAAGAACAGCGTTGCATTCAAATTTTAAACAATGCACCACAGGAATATGATATATAAAATTAGTGTGCAATAGAAGATGTGAACAACAATATAATAGTAACACAGAAAGGAAAACAAAAACTAATGCGGACTATTTGTTAGAGTGCTGCAGTAAGTCAGTCATGTCATACCTAAGAGATTTCTCATCACATAACAGCTGTGCCAGATAAGGTATTGTGGAGTTTTGTACTTGGTAGTCCTAGCACATAGCCTCCTATAGCTGCTTTTAGTTCTACCAGATGAAATGCAAGGAGAGAGCTGCATATAGAGAGGATGCTCGGGGTCTGACAATATAGAATTCGCTAGTTTCTTACATGACATTATATGTCTATCCACAATAGTGTTAACCAGTTGGTTAAACGATATCCCACTTCCCCTACCAACAGCTTTTAGTGCCCTTCTCAGCAAAGTAAAATCTTTCTTAAGTAGTCCAGGGAAGATTAATGGGGAGGAGTAAAGAGGGATGGGCAGAATACAAGAATTGACAAGCTGAGAAAGCAAGGACTGCTTTATACCAGACTGCCCTAATTTCCTAACGTAGAACGTCAAGTGAAACATCTTTCTAGTAACTAACAGGATGTGAGAGGACCAGGAAAGATCAGTGGAAATACTCAGTCCAAGGTATTTGACATTAGATGTAGTTTCAACCTCTATGCCGTCAATGATAGTGGGGCCATGTGAGCTAGCTAGTTGCTGTAGGTCACGTTTTCGTCTGAAAGTGAAATTTACCACCTGACATTTAGACGGGTTTAGCTTAAGACCGTCTGAAGAGGACCACTGACTAATTTCTGAGAGAAAGTTACTTAATTTGGAACAGTCTGACTGAGAGTTGACAGGCATGGAGACAGAGAGGTCATCAGCATACTTGACAAAAGTGGCTACATCAGAATGGGGTAAGTCATGTAAGAAAAAGGAAAACAGAAAAGGAGAAAGAACAGCACCTTGAGGAACACCAGCTAAAGTAAGTGAGGTAGTGGAGGACTTTCCATTGTAGACAGTGTACTGCTTCCTATCAGAAAAGTAGGAATACAACCACTTATTTATCCAGCTCTCACTCTGTGTTGCAGCAAGCCTACTTAACAAGAGAGACCTAGGACCAGAGTCAAATGCAGATGTGTAATCAAGGAAAGCACACCTAACGTATTTAGCTCCTCTATCTAAACTAGAGACTATTTAATGATATTGAACAACAGTGGCTTCTAAGTACACAAGTATTCAGTACTGAGTTAATTTGATCAGCGTTTCGTTGAAAGATTATTTAATAACACATAATTCAAACCTTTTCCTGGATAAATAGCTAGAATAACCCTGTTATGGAGGAATTTTTATTTTGATAAAGTTCCACAGTGTTATATAGTAATCAAAACAAGTGATTCAGCGAAGAGACTCTCTTCAACGAATTTATCATCAAGCTGTACAATCGTATATATATGGTTTTTAAGAAGTTATATTCAGTGAGGGAATTGAATCATAGGTGTGAATGCATAAAATAATAATAGTAGTATGAAATGCATTTAAAATCACACAATATTACGTAACGTTTTTATTTTATTCGATTTGTCTACTAATCCTATAATTGCACACCCTTTTTCAAGTTCTATCCATCCTATGAATTATTCTATATTTGACATTAATTTGTTTTGCCACTTGACATTTAACTATGATTATAATCACAAACATTTTAGTTTTAATTGCATTTCATACCACTATTATTATTATTTTATGCATTCACACCTATGATTCACTTCCCTCACCGGATATAACTTCTTAAAAACCATATATGTATACGATTGTACAGCTTGATAATAAATTCGTTGAAAAGAGTCTCTTCGCTGAATCCCTTGTTTTGATTTTCTATATGTTACATAGGGAATTTTCCATAAGTTATATAGTAATATTTATTGATGATGTTTCGAGGACAGTAAATTGTTCATTATCATTGTCACAACTCACACAACTTTTTGATTTGGTTCATTCAATTCCATTAGTTTTCATCTCTTGATTTGGCTGTTAGTAGTATTTTCTATATCTCTCTCGTATTCATGATGAGTCATTCCTATTGCATGTGTTGGGTGTAAATTCTATGAACAGGGATTCAGTAATCAGTCTCTCTCTCTCCACCTGCCTATATTACTTTTTAGAATTTTAACTTTGCCCCACCCTACTCTGTGGTTGTGTGTTAATGCATTCAGTGCAATTGCTGTTTTTTTAAAAAAAATTCTAAATTACTATTTTTCGCGGAGTCATTCATTCTAATAGCTAAAATCTTTATGACTGATTCCTAAAAGGTACGTAAACTTCCCTGGGCTACTCAAGAGAGACCATATAATACTACGAAGAACATTGAAGGCTGTATGTAGGGTCAGTGCTACCCATTTGACTCAACTAACCAACACTGTTGTCAATAGGCACATGAATTCTTGTAAACACTTAGCTAAAGTTATTTTGTCTTATAGTGAACATCCTCTTTATTCACATTTGTTTCCTTGTATCTCTTCGGGTAAGACCAGAAGAAATTTCATAAACATTTATGCTCGTACTACAAAATATAAAAATTCGACCGTACCATATTTGGCACGAGTATTGTGTGAAGAGACGAATATCAGAAAAGAACTTTTACAACTTTTAAATCATTAACTAAACTATAGAATGTAATGATGCATATTATTGCATGTGTGATTTGTTATATTATTTATTTATTATTCACTATGACCTAGAAATGGTGTGATTTTGTTGGGGTTTTTATTTTTTCCTATTAATTATCAATATTTTTAACATTTCATAAATTTATATAATTATAAAAAGAGCTAAACCAATGCAATATGTAAAATGAAACGCTGAAAATTCCATGCTGTAAATTGTTATTGTTGTGGAATAAAGTGATTGTTATTATTATTACCAATGAATGCCTTAGAAGCGATCATCGGAGAGATACTTTCACTCAGTGAATTTCAGTGAACGATTCTGATGAAAACCTTTTTAGAAGATCCGGTGTCATTTTTCCATAGAAGTGTGGCGTTTATTCAGTTCAATGAGAAAAGATTTATATATCTGTGTCGTAGTATAAAGTAAAACCTTCCGCTACTGTGGAACCCCTTTAAAAAGACGAATAAACCTAAGCTGATTAGAAGAAGAAAACTGTCGTTAGTTAAGCATTCATGTCTCTCCAAACAGCAAATTTCAGCAAATTTTAAGTTTCAAGTATCGTATCTCTAAAGAGTTAGTTAAATTTTCATAGATATCTTTAGCAAACAACTTGAATTAGAAAGCCATTCAAAATTTTAACAGAGAAATATTCAACTGATTCGCCCTACTTAGAGATTGATCAGACGTGTATTATCTATACATTGCTCCCTAGTTATCGATACGCCTGTAACAGATCTTGGTTGGTAACAAAAAGGTACTTTGTATTGTGTTGTTTTTATGCTTACCAATTTCGTTGATTGATTTCTTATTGTTACATAAATCCCCAAAACATCTTTCTAAATTGTTTGTAGGAAAACCTGGAGGTAGTCTAACTCTGTCAGTCAAGCAACCCCTTTTAACATCATTGTTTGCTCCACCAGTCTGTTAGTAAGATAAAATAAATATGAGTGAAATTTTACAAAAATCAATAACAAAACAATTTTAACAAGTTAATGAATATATTACTGTATGCGCTTCAACACTGATGGATAGATTTATTAAGATGAATTTTTGACTTTCAGTCTAAACTACAGTTGATTCGTTTCATTGTCTGATCACGGATTGGTATCAATTAGAGAACTACTCCAAACTAAGGAGTACTAGACACCTGCTTCACTCGAATTTGGGATTCTTCGGCAGTACTTACCCATCGGGTTTTGAACTGAAGGTAAGCTTGTAGATCATTCAGCAACGGAGATCTGATTTAACAGATCTAGAACTTCGGTGCTTGAGCGCTGATGAAGAGTCCAAAACTAGGACAAAACAATTCTCCAGTAATCCTTGGTTTTCAATGGTTCTCTAACTGATATTATCAATCCTTGATTGAACTTGAAACGAATCAAATCCCTACAAACTGACTCTTGAAAATACAGTTGATTCAATACAGACTTAATATAGATCTGTTGAAACTCCTTTCTGTTCGTGCAAACATTAGATACTTGAAGCAATGACAAAAAGGTATACTAAAATTTACATATATATATATATATATAGATAAGTAATATTATTATCGAGGTCGGAGAATCAAATTTTAATTGGAATACCTTATTGATAGCTCAATATAGCAGCTTCAGAATAACATGCCTAACAAGATACTTATACCTATTGTTGAAGGAATTATTCTTGAACATCTATTACACCTGCGTTCATTTAATGTTTCATTGATGACTCATTTGTACATTGTAGGATTTTTTATGAAATGTTAGTACTGAAACATAACTTACTGCGCAAGCATAACATCCAGTCTTCACTTGAGTTCCATTTAATACTACTGGACAGTAGTCGCACATGTAACATTTATACTTTTTATGGTGAACGTTGGGGTCTTCTGCACATGCAATAGAAAAATATGGTGTTTTAATGGTGTGGATAACATCTTTTAAAATATAGACTTAATAAACAGAAGTAAAAAATATTTTTTATAGATAGATTATGACATATTTTAACAATGTGTCTGCGTCATTAACTGTTTGATGAAAAAACTATTTATTATTTTATATTTTTATTATTCCTTCGAGTTCTAAGTGGAATAATATTCAGACTTTGACAGCACACCTCTATTTCATCCTATCCTCTGCAATCCTTTTTGGTTGTCACCACGATTGCGCATAAGCCTTCTTCTTCTCCTTCTTTTCCTTACATGATGCTTACCATATCACTCTTGGATGCACATCAAACTCCCTGTTTCCCGCTAGGGTTCCTCTCGATAGTCCGTCACGTAGCTAAACACTCAGCTGTCACTTCAGCGTGTACTCAATCCATCTCGAGTCACATTCGGTATAATCTTTGGAGAATCGGATTCTTGACTGGCTCCCAGAGTTCCCTGTTGCCTATCCTTTCTGGCCAGTAATCTGATCGTCTATATTGATCCACAGAAGGCAGTTGTTGATGAAAGTTGGCAGTATTCTTTTGCAAATGCATTTTAGGAGGTGCGCATCGATTCTGTGAACCATATGTAACCGTGAAGAAACTAAATACACTATATAAATATTACAAAGTCTGTTAAATGAATGAAGATACGGGAATGACGGTTGTTTTGTGATGAATTCCTTTCTCATATTGATGAATAGTTGCTTTTGAGTGGTATTCTTTTACTGAATTTCTCGAAAACTGTAGAATATTTCAGATCTATCGGTATTGGAAATGGGAGATATTTTTAATAAATATAGAAACAGTAAAAATAAATGATGTCACAATATAAAATTAGGAATTTTGTAAATATATTGATATAATTATGAGTAGTCGATTGTACTCAGGAGGTCATCTTCTTGTCAATACTGTAACACTGTGTGTTATATCAGATAGTTTTATCTAACATGGAATTATATTCTATCACAGTGCCGAAATTATACGCTCAAATTAATCACACGTGTAATACCATGTTCATAAATGAGGCATTAGCGAGACAAATATTCCGGGATGATATCATTTCGTAGACGTTTTACGATCAATTTGCATTTATTTTAGTTGGTAATAATAAAATGAAATGTTTGACAGTTAACCAGTTATATAAAACAAACGTTCAAAATTAATAACCAGCCGTATCCGAAACGCTCTAGTAGTTCATGGTGGGCAAATGCTGAGGTCTTTTTTTTCTGTACTCTTAATTTTGGATGCAGACTTTTAAGTCCAAAATGCTTTTATTACCTTTAAAAGACTTGAATTAAAGTTGTATGAAATAACTTGGAAACATTCAATAATGTTGATTTTGTAACCAAACATGAATAAACATATTGCAGTGGATTATGCTTCCCATCTTTTCAGATCAAGTAAATCTGGATTGTTTGTGTGACTTAAGAACCACTTAGGAACCTGTTTTCCTCGACGACGTTGGAACCTTCTATTCTTTCTATATATATACATATATACGTGTCCCAGCTATTTCAGTTGAACTTGTAAATACAGTGTGTAGTAGACTCCGTAGAATTTTGTGCTGTAATCATAGACACAGGAATTGAAAATATTCGAGTGGTAAGGTGAAGGGAGGCAGTGTAGAATGTGAGTTTCATCATATGATTTAATCACACTAGAACGGTAATTTAATGAAGACAGCTTGTTTTGGTATGGAAACAGTCTCTCTTTATTATTATTATTTCATATATGATGAAGTTATCACGACATCCATTAGCCAAAAAAGACACAATGACCTATTAAGATAAGATTGGTTATGAATAATGAACTTTTACTATATATAACTGATTTTTTTCTATTCCTTTACGTTCCCAAGCCAGAGGCTTGAAGCATTGGTAGCAGTGGTATTTATTTTTATGGGATGGGGATGCTAGTCTCATGCCCAACGCTTCCCCCTTTACCAGTCTTATTATTGGCTTAGCAAGGTAAAGGAGTGCGTCCGCCAGGGATCGAACCCCGGACCACATGAGGCATGGTTGGCGAGCGTTCTACCTCTGTATCACCAAAGCACATATAACTGACTAACTGTCATGTATTTTATTTCAATATTGTCAACCATACTAGTTGTTAAGCGATCATAAAGAAACTACTAAAGGTGATGTGATCCCGTAATATTTGTCTTTTTAATGCTTTATTAAATTTTATGTTGATTAACCATCAGAGGAATACCATTTTTGTACAAACATTAGTCTATCAATCTTCTTAATGCCTTTTTGAAATAAGTTTCATTCATTTGAAGTCATAATGACAAAAACTGAACAACAGCTTTCAGTTGCTTTCATAAATGCATTACAAAACAAGAACCAATCGCCCAACAAATATGCAGGAGAAAGTGGAGATGGATTGGACACTCGCTGAGGAGGCCGCTGGGTGACATCGCGCATCAGGCCATAGGTCGAGTGGAACCTGAAAGGGAAGCGGCGAGTGGGACGTGCAAGGGTGACATGGAGGAGATCGTGCGAAGAGGAATTGAAACAGTATGGATTAACACGGACTCAGGTGAAAAGTACAGCAGAAGAGAGAAGCAAGTGGAGACGTGCAGTTGAAGCCCTATGTTCCACTAGGAACCCAAGGGAACTATAATAATAATAGGGTAAGGTTGTTGTTACTTTTGTATTGCACTAAACATTAAATGGAAAACATGGTAGTATACTGAGTGACTTTATTGTACACCCTTGCTAATTGTGGCTGCGTAGTCCATTTCTGTGGTGGTTTCATGACAAATTATATTTTTGGTATATGGTTTTAAAGGAAATTTCGCATTGAAATTTCTTTCTGACGTACATATTTTCTGTGATATTATTCTCTTCACCTGCATTATATATGCTGAACTTTTATCAGAAAATTTGACTTGTTTCTGATATCTGAGCAATGTTGTAATGGATTACAGGATGGTTGTGAGTTTAAAAGTTAAACGTATATTATTGAATTTCCACGAAATCATGTTGGTATAATTTGGTCTATTTTTATTGAAATGCCTTAAAACCCAACGGATAAAGCATGTGGCGCCTTGATAATCGCCCTAGCATACCTATTACTTGGTACATTAGTTCAGATTTGGTTATCTTCTAGTAGACAACCAAGCTAAAGATATAACACTAAGATATATTCCAAAAATGTTAAGGACAGACTGAAACCAACCAAGTTGTGCCGTTTGACTGTTTCAATTCTACCCTATTACAAATCAAGCTTAACTGCTGACAGTCATAGCTGCTACTGGCTTTGCATGGAAAGCATGCATACCCCTTCATTAAGTGTATAAGACTCTTACAAAAGACCAACTAAAAATTCATTAAACAGCATTAGTGTCTAATGGTAATAAAATATTTCTCAATGAGTCTAATGCGTAATCAATACGCGTATAATTAAGTAGTTCAATATACTCATCACTTTTAAATCTCATTCAGTAAATAACGCGCTAAACCACTTGAAATGATACAGTGTAAAAAAAACTGGCAATTAACTTAAACAAAAGATTACCAAATTAGTTCACATTTATACATGTTACCTACAACATATACATAACAAATATGCACCAGCTACATAATAAAATGTAGTAGAGTTTGTTCTGAGATCATTTCAAAGACTAAAATTCAAAGTGACTCAGGATTAAACCATTTCTACCATGCAACACAGTGCTGATAAAATATTGCAGGTATCTTTCAATAAAGATACTTACGTGTGAGCAGAAGAAGGAGAAGAAGTTCCAGACCTTCTTGTGATATTATACAGTATGACTACTTAGAATAATGTCATAATTTGAAAGTTATCTCCATACAGTGAGAGTGATTAGTTAGTGTAAAGTAGTAGTAGTAGTAGTAGCCTCTAAATCCTTTGTTCTACGCGTCAAATAACCACACCATACCCTAGTTGAGTATTTAGTCACTTCTAGGAACTTCATTTGTAGGGATAAAACTTTAAAAAATGAGCATTATTATTAGTAGTATTATAAGCAATAATGATTAAAGTTTAGTCTGGTAATATGACTTACGTCCAATGACTGTAGTGAACAGGAAACACGAAAGAATTGAAAAATACTTCAAGTGAATAAGCATAGTTGTTTATTGACTGCAGTAGGCTGAGTTGCACATAACAGAAAACACGTAATAACAATCTTAAAATAGAGATTATAATGATTAGTGCATGTATTATCCAATTACAAGCAGTTAGATGTATAGACAGATTTGAAAATCCAGCTCTTCTGTCTATCAGTTGTATGGAATTTGACTAATCACTACAGATAGATTTTTTATTTGCAGACTAGTTAATTAATCACTGACATGATGATATTAGCTAGTAAAATTAAATGCAGGTTTTTATTCTTCAGTTAAACTACTCCTCTTATAGTGTTTTTCTAAAGGCTATTCCTTGGTTTTGCAGTTTTGCAAATCATACAGTGAGAATATATGTGTAAAACTTGGGCACTGTGGTAGTAAGTAATTCCATATTAGTTTGTTTATTAGATATATCACACAGTCAGTGAGAAAGTATTATTTACTGGATGACGTTTTGAACAAAATTTATTGTTCATAATCATATCAGTTGTGATCACACGACTTTGACACTTGAGTTTTACAGTTTTCTTTGTCCTCTCGTATTTGTCATTTAAACATTTCACCAATCCTATTTTTACTGACATAGGATGGCATGATCGGAAGTCTAAATATCTGTTTGAGTGTGTGGGTTTCCTGTGAACACTAGTGTTTAACTTCCCACCTTCTTTCCTCTTTACGTTGCAATCTAACATTGGGAGTTCCCCTTCCTAATTTTCCAATTCATAAGTGAATTGAATTGCTTAAACCTTCGAGTTGATGTGTTCGAAAAGGAAGGAACCTCGGAAGCCTTTCGCAGAACTCTTAACAAGACAGGAATAAAAATGGCATTCAAACCACTCACAAACTCAATTAGAAACAAGCTTTGTCGGTTAAAGGATCCTGTAGAGCCTTTAAAACAAAACAATTTAGTTTGTCCAATACCCTAACTGCAATGATTGTCAGGTCAAATACATAGGTCAAACTAGTAGAACAGGAGCAGTCAGACTAGCCAAACATAAAAATCTAGCAAAACCTAGATTTGTTGACCCGAATGAAATAAGAAATCTAGAGAATAGTTCAGCTATAGCACTACATGCAGTCACACACAACCATACAATAGGATGCATGGGATAGGATGACAGTTTTAAAATCTTATGTAATAGCGGAGGGGAAGGAAAGATTGACAACAGAAGCTTTGTTTATCGAATCAACTGCGAATACATGTAATAGGAATGATTCAACACCTGTCCACCCAGATATCTGGAAAATTCTACTACCTCAACGACGAAAAATAGGAGAGAACAAAGAAAACCATAAAACTCAAGTTTTGAAGTCATGTGATTATAATTGATGGAATGATTATGAACAATAAATTTTGTTCGAAACGTCATCCAGTAAATAATACTGTTTCACTGTGTGATATATATAATAAAAAAACTAATATGGAATTACATACAGTGATAATATTGGTAAATAAGATGTTTCTGCCAATGTGTCTACATTGAGTTGAAGATTCAGAAAGAGAAGGTTTTTAGAGATATAAAGCGTGTACAGTTTTAGTAGTGTAGGTATCATAGATTTTGTGATGAAGCGTCCATGGTAGTCATTTTATAATGAGAATCCCTTTTAGAATGTCCAGCTCCAATTCTAAGGTGCCAGGGCTGTAAATGTTTCAGATCCTGTGGCTCAATGACCGGATAAGATTTCGTTTTGCATGTAACAACACCCAGTTGTATGGAAGTTTGTTAGTTGTTTGTTCCATGTTGGCTTTCTGTGGATGCATCCTTTCAGAGTGGCATATCATTCACGTCTTGCAAGTTGAACATCCGGGAAGGCTATTTTTGAATCAGACTCCATCTCTAATTTGAAGTGGATTACTGTTGAAAGAAATCCAGAATATCTTCCATTATCAGATATAATAAGAGTATCATCGACACCCCTCTTATATGAACCAAAGTTGTTAGTCCTCTTCTTTAAGTGCCCTTTTTCAGCTTCGACATGAAAATGGCTATTCTGAACGCTTAGTCATAAAATCCATGTAGCCTACGTCTTTAAGACTGCACACACTTTCTACCTCTATTATTATTATTATTGTTACCTTGGGTTCCTAGTAGAATATAAGGCTTCAACTGCACGTCTCCACTTGCTTCTGTCTTCCGCTGTACTTTTCACCTGCATCCATGTTGATCCATACTGTTTCAGTTCCTCTTCACACGATCTCCTCCATGTCACCCTTGCACGTCCCACTCGTCACTTCCCTTTCGGTTTCCACTCGAGCTATGGCCTGACGCGCGATGTCACCCAGCAACCTCCTCAGCGAATGTCCAATCCATCTCCACTTTCTCCTGCATATTTGTTGGGCGATTGGTTCTTGTTTCGTTTGTTCCCATAGCTTCTTGTTTGTGATTCTTTCCGGCCATCTGATCTTCAGTATAGAGCGAAGACAGCTGTTGATAATGGTCTGCAACAGGCTGTTGGAAATATTCTTGGTGACACACTGGCCAAGTTTCTGATCCGTATACAAGAAGTGACTCGACATCGTTTGTATTGAAAATCCGAATTTCGTTGTTGATGCTGAGTGACGACGATTTCCAGATTGGTTTCAGGTTGATGAATGTGTTTCTCGCCTTCCCGATTCTCGATTTGACATCCTCGTCCGTTCCTCCAATAGTTGACACAATGCTCCCTAGATAAGTGAAAGAAGTAACCTCTCTCAAATCCCTCCCGTTGATGGTGATTGGCGCTGGATGTTGCTGCTGCTGTTGTTGTTGTTGTTGGTTGGTTATTTTCATAACCTCCGTCTTGTCTATGTTCACCTGGAGTCCTGTCTCCTCTGGCTGCCTCTTCGACCAGTTTGTCGGTTTTCGCTTGTAAGTCTTCGATTTTGTGTGACATCAAACATAAATCATCCACGCGCGAAATCCAGGTCTTCTAGATTTTTCACGTCGGTCCAGGATATCCCTGTCTCCTCGTTTCCCACTGTCTGACGCATAATCCAGTCCACCACAATTAGGAATATCATTGGTGATAATAAGCAGCCTTGTCTGACTCCTGTGTTTACTCCAAACGCCTCACTGAGTTTTCCGTTGTGGATCACTTGACATGTGCCGTTGTCGTACAGCTGTTGAATAAGGTTGATGAATATTTGGAGTAAGCCGTAGTACTCGAGAAGTTTCCAAATTACTTCGCGGTCAACGCTGTCGAAGGCCTTCTCAAAGTCCATAAAGTTGAGGTAGATGTTTGATTGCCATTCCATGCTTTGTTCGATGATGATGCGTAGAGTTGCAATTCGGTCAGAACATGATTTGGCTTTCCTGAATCCAGCTTGTTCTGGTCGGAGTTCTGTATCCAGTGCGTCCTTTATTCTCTCCAGGATGATGCGACTCAGGATTTTACTTGGCGTAGACAGGAGCATGATTCCTCGCCAGTTCTTGCAGAGTCCTAGCTCGCCCTCTACCTCTAAACGCTGTAAAACATAAAGTTATTATTTTTATAACAACAATAATGTCGTACATAGAGGCATTTTAAGTGAGTGTCCAATGAGTGGAAAGCACAGTACACCATAGATTTTAATCCCAAACGTTTTGCATGATATTTGGCTAGATCATGTACGCTACAACTTCTGCTTCATTTAACTGTAACCAGGCGGACTTGGAGACCCTGTTTCTTATGTGTTTTGATACTGTCCCTCATCAATTAATGAATAGAGTTGGCAAGGTGACAACACAATCAGTATTTTCAAGTGTTGGTTTGTAGGGATTTGATTGGTTACAGGATTTCATCATGAGCTGACATCAGTTAGAGAACCATTGGAAAACCTGGGAGTACTGGACAGCTGTTTCGTCCCGGTGGGTGCGTACTGCTGAAGAGTCCCAAACTAGGACGAAACAGCTATCCAGTACTCCCAGGTTTTCCAATGGTTCTCTAACTGATATCAGCTCATGATGAAATCCTGTAAACAATCAGTATTACTGTTATTGTTTACTAGGATGCAACAGCTGTCCAGTACTCTCTGGTTTTCAATGGTTCTCTAACTGATAACAATCCGCGGGCCAATATGAAACAAATACAATCCCTACAGACTAATTACAGCAAATATTTTTGGTTTTAAAATGAAGTGCTTTGTCTGTTTAGAGTGGTTGATTTATCACTATGTTTACTTTATCCTTATCAATATTGTCCTGAGTTCTGAGCGGAACTTAGAGCTTCCGCAACACACCTCCATATATTTTTCAACTCTGAAGATCTTGTTAGATGGCTCCATGATTTCCTACGGACGCCCAACTCGTCGTCTCCTATTCGATGTCCACCCGAGGGCTTGACTTGAGATGTCATTCGACAGTCTCCACAGTATGTATTCTATGCATATCCAGTTTATTCGTCCTATTTGTCTGTCTATGGGTTCTTCTTTCGTCCACCGCATTGCCAGAGTTCCTTGTGTTCAGTCAGTCTTTTCTGACTGCGCACCTGTTCCTCAGTATGGAATGAAGGCAGTTGTTGATAAAAGTTTGTATTTGCCTTTCAGAAATGCTTTTTCGTAATGCTTAGTGGAATAGATTTCCAAAATGATTTCGGAATAATAAAGGTCTATCTTGTCTTTACGATCCTGGACTTGATTTCGTCGTCTATTCCGCCTATAGTTATGACGATGTTGACTGGGTAAGCATACATTATATATAACGTGTGTCAAACTAAGTGTCTTGAATACATGAATGAGTACTCGCCATTTAAATTCGAAGTTTATCCAATATTCGCTGACAAATATTGGATAAAAATACTTTTGAGGTCGCAGGGTAATCCTGAGATAATGAAATCTGACATGATGAAACGTAATTCCATACAAGGAAGGAACTTCGGAAACCTTACGCAGAATTCTTAACAAGGCAGGAATAAAACTGGCATTCAAACCCACAAACTCAATTAGAAACAAGCTGTGTCGGTTAAAGGATCCTGTGGAACCTTTAAAACAAAACAATTTAGTTTATCTAATACCCTGCAATGATTATCAGGTCAAATACATAGGTCAAACTAGTAGAACAGGAGCAGTCAGACTAGCCAAACATAAAAATCTAGCAAAACCTAGATTTGTTGACCCGAATGAAATAAGAA